TTCGCAGTACTTGTATTTCTTGCTGAGAAGGGATTGTAGAGTGAATTGGTGATTCCTTTGACAACCAGAAGATCTTCCGTAGATTTCAGTGTTAATCTAGTTTTTATAATGGTTAATACCTGGAACTTCTCCGTTGGCCAATACTTTTTTCGTATTGAAATAGCGGTTCTTAGAAAAACCGCTATACATAGCTCTCAGAGGCACATTTATAATTTTGACTAGGTCAAAATTTATTCTTTAGAAGACTGCTAACTAAGTCATCCTAGTTTCTAAAAGACAATTCATTCATCATTTTATCCACAACTTACGAAAAGTGGAGACTAGTTAGATTTCAATAATCCTTTCCAAGATCCGCAATGAAATGATAGAAACGTGTAGAAAACAGGAGGGATTGGTGTTCCTAATCAGACAATTACCACTTACAATAAGTTCAGAATTCATTATTTGGCCAATTTGAAAATCCCTGAGCCTTGACTCTTCGTTACATCCATTACTGGCTTCTGGCTATGGTGACGCTTAATCTATTTCGCAAGCTCAAATTCTTTATCGACATTGAATGCTTGGGACAATTTTGCGACAAATTTGACAATTTCATAGCACGCGATCCATCATGCAACTGATGAACTACGGACTACCTGATACATCAATGAACGACCCATTTGTCCAAGATATTACTAAGTAGAAGTCTCTAATCCTGCTAATATGACCAAGATAAACAGCAGTGAATTGAAGGTTACGGTGAAAGTGGATACATCTCGAAACTACGAAGTTTTAAATGCACTAGAATGGTAAGGCATAAACTGGCTAAGCGTTAGAGAAGTCATTACTTTTGAAATCCGGAGTCGACCACCGTAGTCACCAGACCCTATAGTTACTAACTAGCAGGCTTAGGCACCGGATCCTCTCTTGTGGAGTGTGGTAGAATGCCATTCATCATTTTCTCTCTCCTCTTGAGCTGATAAGTCCTTCGTCTGTAATCCCGATATACGCTTTGATTAAGTACACTAGGTGCAATCAAGCGAACTTCCATATCTACTCACGTAATAGTAAGCGCAATGTAACTTCGTGCAATCAGTCTCCAAAACACACCCGGACTTATTTTTGAGGCTTAAGCACCAGGAAGACTTATTTTGATTCTCCGCTTCTGCTAACGCAGAAGTTACCAAAAGTATTTGAGATATATCCACCTACCTTTCCTTTTCCGCCAACTGTTCCAGGAAGGTAGTGGCAGTGAAGTCGAGTTTTGAGGCCTGCTTCACGGACTCCACCTCCTCCAGTCTACTGAGGAACTCACGATCTCGCTCCTCCAATCGTTTTGATTGCAAATGAGCCTCCGGTTTCCTTCCTATCATCCGTTGTCTGTGTATCAGCGCCTCCTGCACTGCCAGCTCTCGAGCTGGAGGGAGGACAAGGAAGGCGATTTGATGATAGCAATAAACCCTTAGCATATTCGGTGCCAGCCACATATGTGACGCTCCGATTCTCTTGCCTGAGCTCTGTATCACATTTTAAGGTAAACAGTACAGTGAATACCGTCGCAAATAGATAAGCAGATTTTGGAACCTCAAAAGAGGTGTAAGACATTTTTGGTACAAGGGCAATTTCGTTTCTAATTTCCATTAGCAGTTATAATCCAAAAAATTAATAGCAACGGGCGATCCATTAAAACAATAAAACGTCCGAGCTATGGTAATCAAATTTCCTCCGAGACCGGTGGCAAAGTTTTAATTACAAGAAAGATGGAATTAGGTTAACGGAATGAACGAAAAAAGTAAAACTCACGATGAGGGTTTGCAAGGGGGGTTAGGACGAATGAGCAAATCTAATAGAATGGAATCACATGTGGAGAGAACTCACCCTCAGGCTCGATTTTTCCCATGGCGTCGGATTCATGAGATTTTCGCAGTACTTCACGCTTCTCAGCCTCCGCTTGCAACAGCTTTTTGAACCTTCAATTGGGCCAATCAGTAAGATAGGTTAACTAGCGTCTCAAGATGAGTGGCATTAGTTACCTGTCTGTTAAATCTCGGCATTAAATTACTACTTAGGAGGTGATGAGACTTACCATGTTTGCTTTGCCCTAATGGAGGCCTCATTAATGAGTGCAATGTGTTTTTGAAGCAAAGAGCGGAGATCTGCAGAATTCAGGCACGAAAATTTCAAACATGGAAAAGCGTTCGCGCTATCGAATAGAAAGTGCTGAAATGGAAGCATGCAAAAAGTACAGTGATTGCGTGTAAGGAAGGCGGAGGGAAATCTTAAGACACCACGTTTCGAATGCTAGGAGCAGGAAACACCTTGATAAGATGAAAACTAACACGTAATTATCAGTCAATCACTGAAACGACAGCAAACATAGACCAAGCTTTCAAAATATTACCAAAAAGTATAAGAAAGCAGAAATAAGAACACCTACATTTGGAGCGATGGAGCGAAGAAGGAGAAGTGATAGACCACAGCGCAGAATGCCCGGTTCAGAGTCGGCCGAAACGAGACCTAAAAGAGATCCACACTGACCCAAGTGCCCTCGCAGAATCGTGAAGTCTCCTGAATGACCCTCTTCCTCCTCCACTGATTGGTAACTCATTGAATGTCTCCAAAAGCTCGCATCTATGAAGAAGGAGAATGTTGCGACTTGAGGGGAAGTTTAATAATAAAGTGTACCACCATCAATCTGCTTTTCTATTAACCATCCCAAAAAGCATGCTGGTTCTTTCCTTGAGGTTATAATAAAGTGGTGAAAGATTGTCTTATTTTGAAAAAAAAGTAGAACTGCACTGATTGGGGCTTATACCCACACTGCCAAGGCGTTAATCAATTTGCAGCAGTAGCACGAAGAGGTAGAATGACTGCGGAACTTCACTTTAGGAAAAAAGATCATTTTACCTAGGTCAATGTATTTACTCAAAGTTTCCTCTTGAAACAAACCTTTGCCAAAGGTGCCTAATCACGAAGTAAAGGACTGCTGAACTTGAAATGCACACTAAGGAAACGGCCTCTGACAACGAAATGACTTACCTCCAGCTATGACTAAATGCGAAATTTACCCTTAAATCCGATTCAATGTTTTGGGTCTCCATGGCATTCTGAGTATAACGGTATAAAATTACGGATTTGTAATGAAGGAAATTGCTTCTCCTACACGACGTCATAAGACACGGCTACCTCGACAAACCCAAGTCAACTAAGCATAATCTTTCACAATCATGTCATTTGTCAGCAAAAGGACAAAGAAGCTCCTTTCGTAGCATATTGCTGAAAAATACACTCAGGAAATTGTTCTGACCTTCAACAGTAACCCGCCTACTTTTTTGTTCTATAAATGATAATGTCTTACTTCTGCTGGAAGCACTCGTGCTAACAAATGAGGATCATTTCCAAAGCTACGTTTGCTGAAGTAATCTCGATTTCAACCCATAAACCGTTCAAAGCAAGAAATACAAGTACTGCAAA